AATATTTGGGTGGGCTCCTGTTATAGAATCCCCCTAGTAAGTACAGGATTTCTCTCGGGTTGCCGTAGCGAAAGCCCATAGCAAAATAGCATTTTGGTGGACTCCTGTTATAGAATCCCCCTAGTAGGTACAGGATTTCGCTCGGGCTCCTGTAGCAAATTCCCATAGCAAAATCAGTATTTCGGTGGCTCCTGTTATAAAATCCACCTAGCGAGTACAAGATTTCTCTCGCGTTCCTGTAGCGAAATCCCATAGCAAAATCAAGATTTGGGTGGGCTCCTGTTATAAAATCCCCTCAGTAAGTACAAGATTTCTCTCGGGCTCCTGAAGCGAAATCCCATAGCAAAATCAGTATTTCGGTGGGCTCTTGTTGCAAAATCCTCTAACATACAGTATTGCACGCAGGTGTTGATGCAAAATCCCTTAGTAGATGACATGTCTAGACACTCTTGCCGGCTCTTCCAAACACAGCGTCTACTTGGGGATTTGCTGATGTAGGGTGGCCAAAATGCATGCAAAACATACTGCAAGCGTCTGCGACATAAGCGTCATTTTTGCACCTTGTGTCCGGCTCTTCAAAACGCAGCGTCTGCTTGGGGATTTGCATCTCGTGATGTATATTTTCCCCAATGATGGAAATTTTCCCTGACGCAGCGTCTACATGGGGAGATGCATATTCTCACCGGCTGATGTGTGATAACCCCGGCACTAGTATCAGACCCCTTTTCGGGGGTCAATTTTGCGTGCTGAAGGATAGGGAACGTAGGCTAGCCTCTGCCATGGATACAATGCCAGACATGTGCTATGAGCATCTGAAGAAGAAGGAAGGGTTTCCTCGGGAGCTCACAACCCTAGCGAAACTATAGCGCAATAGTTATGTCTTGGGCTCAATGTTTTCGCACCCTGTTTTGATAACGGACGTTGTGGTCATGCGGATACAAAAGGCCCGTGCAGGTGCGGAGATGCTCTGCAGGATAGACGTTCTCAGATCCAACGACCTGGAGTGGAATTATCTAGCGCGCCGGAGGAGTAAAATTGAAGGCTGGCGATGCTCGCGGACCAGTTCTGGGGCGTTTGACGGGGTATGTTATGTATGTCACTGTATGTCAATAATGGAGGCTATGGCTGCCACAGCAGTCTAAGACAGTTAGCATCAGTTAGCCCGGGCCAGCCGGTTGACCTGGTGGACTATCTGCTAGCCCGGAGAGACACACCGTGTGGGAGGTCCGTGCCGTAATCAATGGTTAAAGCGATAGCCTGGTGTGGGCGGCAACGGAAGCCGTCTGAATTATGCCTGGAGGAGGGATGGCTTGTGACAGTCTTCCGAAGGACCAAAAATGACCAAAGCATCCGAACCAAACCGGAGGATAAAGGAGCTACCAGTCTGTGTTAGCGGAGTGGTTTTCTACGAGAGTCCCAAGTGGATAGAGAAAGGCTTTGCCCTTTTCAGAGAAGGACAGGGGAGGGTACAAGAGAGAATAGTTGCTCACGATACCGCAGCCGGATATGGCTGGCTTCGAGAGGAGATTGCCAGCTATGCTGACGCAGTGAGGGGAGGTAGCAGTCCTTGCTTGGCTGGGGTTACCAGGGACCGTGCAGGCAGAACATGCCTGCGCACGGATATGGAGGGTTCCGATACATATGCGGGTGGCATGGGGGCAGGTTGAGAAGATACAGCACCAATATGGTGTGGCGGCCCTAACTGACGACGGCCACCATTTCCTCTACAACAAGGATGTAGCAGCTGGACTTTGGGGTTTGGTTGCCAGACAGGCGGCTGCTGGAGAAGGACCGGGCAAAGACCATAGCTGAACTGTTGGCTGGCGTATGGAACATGGCGCCTGCCTGGCAACTTCGAGGAGACGGAAGGTGTGCAGCCTTCGGACGATGCAGCTTCCGGACGATAGCGAGGCCAGCGGCGCTGCAGTTCCAGAAAGGAGACCAGGGCAGCAAAGCAAGCTCAGGTGCTCGATGGGGTAGCTACGCGTGTGTGCCGCCTGTGTCGGCCCCACGGCCAGTTTGATAGTCAGTAAACCCAGCCTCCCCCCGTGGGGTTGAAATAACTTCAGTCCTGTTGCTTTGCTATCAGCTATCAGTCCATGTCCAGTTCATGTAACACAACTGCATTGCATGTTGCTGTTGCCGCTCTCAAGGTTCTAGGGAGATAATACTCGAGTGCGCGTAGAGAGTGGACAAGGACAGAGACGCCCGCTCGCCTGTCTACTGTACACTGTAGTCAGGTAGTTCACGCTTGGGCCAATCTCAATGTGGCAGCGGAGTCTCTCCAAAAAGGCTCAGACGACACTCTGGGGTGCCCAGTGTATCCCCGAGAGGCGCTGACCACTCGGCGGTACCCTGAGTACCCCGTGCAAGGGGGCTCGACAGAGAGAGCTCCCACCTCAGCAGCCATGGCAGATGATTTTTACACAGATATGCGTGATGAAGACCTCTACGACGAGGCACATACCACGCAAGCGATGTTGACGTGCGACGTAACTCGGATGAGTCAATTTTCGCAGGTGACGACGAAAATACCACCTTCGTTTGATGGAAAAACATCATAGTTTGCGTATGAAGATGCACTTGAGGACTGGTGCGACATAACTGAACTGGACGATGAAAAGAGAGGGCCAGCATTGCGCGACAGACTTGAAGGAGGTGCCGCCATTTACAAGAAGATCCTAGAGACGGATGCCTTGAAGAACAAGGAAGAAGGCGTGCTGTGCTTCAAGAGGACGCTGCGACTCTTCTTTGTGAAGGGCAGTGTGAATGTCTTTTTTTTATGAATTTGCGCCGTGGTTCATCTGAT